GACAATTGCATCGCGGACAAAGTGACAATCCACTTCAATGTGTTTGGTCCGTTCATGAAAAACCGGGTTTTGAGATATATGTAAAGCGGCTTGACTGTCGCAATGCAGTGACATGGATGTAACATGGGACACGCCAAGACTCAATAAAACCCCTTTTAGCCATTTCAGCTCACAAGTAGTCATGGCCATTGAACGATACTCAGCTTCAGCAGAAGAGCGAGACACAGTATGTTGCTTTTTCGTCTTCCAGGAAATAGGAGACACACCTAGAAATATCACCCAACCTGTCAGTGATCTTCTGGTCGTTGGGCAGCCGGCCCAGTCTGCATCACACCATGCATGTAGGCGTAAGTCACAGGCACTACTTAGCAAAATGCCTTGTCCGGGGTTTTGTTTCAAATAACGGACAACCCGCAGCGCAGCTTGCCAATGATCCTCCCTTGGTTGTTGCATGAATTGAGACAAAATATGAACACTGTACGACAATTCTGGCCGTGTGAAGCACAAATAAATCAGGCGCCCTACCAAGCGACGATAAGGTTCTGGATCAGCAAGAAGGTCGCTAGTAGACATAGCCAAACAATGATTTTGTTCCATAGGAACACGTGCGGGTTTAGCTCCCAACAAACCCGCCTCAGCAATAATATCCAGTGCATATTTTCTTTGACAGAGAAAAAAACCTTCTGGGCTCCGTGCAACTTCAACGCCAAGGAAATACTTCAAGACTCCCAAATCTTTCATGTGAAAACAGTCACTCAAATAAACTTTAAACTGTCGGATAGCTGAGCTATCATTGCCGGCAATAATAAGATCGTCAACATATACAAGAACACTAAGATGAATGTCGCCTTTCCTCATGGAGAAGAGAGAATAATCAGAGTAGGACTGTTGAAATCCAAAAACCTTCAACGCAGCTGAAAGTTTGGCGAACCAGCAGCGAGGGGCCTGTTTAAGCCCATAAAGAGACTTGTTTAACCTACAAACCTTGCCGGGAGCCGAAACTTGGAACCCGGGCGGTAACTTCATGTAAACTTCTTCTTGAAGGTCTCCATGGAGAAACGCGTTGTGAACATCCATTTGATGAACTTCCCAATTTCTCGCAGCTGCGACGGCCAAGAAAACTCGCACGGTAACCATCTTAGCCACCGGAGCAAATGTCTCAGTGTAGTCAATCCCTTCAACTTGATGATTCCCAAAGATCACAAGCCGAGCCTTATATCTTTCCACTGTGCCATCAGAGTTGTACTTGATTTTGTATACCCACTTGCATCCTAGAGCCTTCTTGTTCTTTGGTAGATCCTCTATCACCCATGTTCCATTAGTTTCCAATGCTTGTATCTCCCGTTGCATGGCTTCCCGCCATCACCCATCTTTTACCGCCTCAGAATATGTCACAGGTTCACGTTCTGCATGTATCACTGTAAGAAACACTCTGTGTCGCATAGAAAAATTGTTACAATTCACGTAGTGTGTAATGGGATAGGGATTACCTGAGGAACGCTGTGGTTTGGGTGTCGATTTGGATGGACTCATTTTCTGTATACAATGTGTAACATAATCACGCAGCAACAAGGAGGGCTTTTTCTGTCTGTGACCCCGACCCAACAATTCCTCCTCGGACATTTCAGGTTCATCATGCTCATTTGATTCCACGTTCACCGCACCAGGCACAACATGATCTGCTCCCCCCCTCACTCCCAAATCGTCATAATCCCCAAAGTCAATAGGTGGATCTTCGGAATAAGAAGGTAGAATCAAGTCGTCTTTACGAAGAGAAGCAAAAGGAAATTCTGTTTCAGAGAACTTGACATCTCGAGAAACAAAGAACTCATGAGCTTCTAGATCATACAAACGCCATCCTTTTTTCCCGTATGGATATCCTATGAAAATGCAACGCCTACTCCGACTATCAAATTTGTCGCCTGACCTCCCTTGTTTGTGAGCATAACAGAGGGAGCCAAAAACACGGAGATGATCATATGTAGGATCACGACCATAAAGAACACTATAAGGGGTCTTTCCATTCAAAACCGAGGAAGGAGTTCTATTTATCAAATAACCTGCTGTTAACACACATTCTCCCCAGAAGTCGATAGGTAAACATCCCTGAAATCGTAGAGCACGAGCAACGTTTAATATATGTTGATGCTTACGTTCTACCCGCCCATTTTGTTGTGGTGTACCAATGCAGGATGTTTGAAAAATTATGCCATTCTCAAGAAAATAATTTTTCAAGCAAGTAAATTCCGTTCCATTGTCAGTCCTTACAATTTTTACTTGTTTGTTGAACTGGCGCTTCACCATGGAGAAAAACATTTTTATAGTCTGGGACACCTCTGTCTTATCTATTAGCAAGTAAATCCATACGGCCCTCGAGTAATCATCAACAATGGTCAAGAAATAGGATGCTCCACAAGAAGAAACATGTCGATAGGGACCCCATAAATCACAATGTATTAATTCAAAAATATCTGAAGCTCTAAAATCACTAACAGGAAACTTTTCTCTAGTCTGTTTTGCGCGTTGACAAACATCACAACATTTATTCAATTGATCCTTATTTTCCTTAAAGACTGCAGCAGGAACCAACTTGATTACTTGCATGGACGGATGACCCAAACGTTGATGCCAGAGGTCCAACGACACCACCTTGTCAACCTTCAAAGCCGAAATGCGCGGAGTCCCCTTGAAGTAATAGAGTCCATCCCGACGTTCACCCGCACCAATCAGCGTCCTCAGAGTGTGGTCCTGCATTACACACATATTTTGAGTGAATAGAACAATACAATTTGAATGATCAGTAAATTGCGACACAGAGAATAAATTGCAAGTTAATCCCGGCACATATAAAACATTCTCAAGAGAAATTCCTCCATCAAGGCTGAGTGATCCCTCTTTGGTGGCCACTGCGTTCTCTCCATTAGGTAGACCGACAGTGCACGGCACTATATCCCTCAAGTTATGCAAATTGCTTAAAGTTCCTGTCATATGATTCGACGCGCCCGAGTCTATGATCCATGACTCTTGCTTACCGGTCATTTTTTCGGAATTGGAATGTTTCTGACTGTTTAGCAGAGTTAGCAACGCCTGTAATTGATCAGTACTCAGTCCAAGTGAGCCCATGTTGTTTCCTTCAGAGGCACTTGTGATTGTGCTTCCAGGGACGGTCTGAGCTGCATAGCTCCTCACAGCACCACGTCCACGTCCTGCACCTCTTTCTGTTCGCTGCTGTGAAGACTGCTGCCCCCCGCTTCGTCCTCCATTTTTCCCTTCGTTACGTGGCCTGTTACCCCACCAGTCAGGATACCCGATCAGTGCAAAGCAAGAATCGGCCTCATGTCCACTACGCTTGCAATGTGAACACACCATAGCCTTGTCTCTTCCATCAGTTCGAGCTCGTACAGCAAGTGCCATGACATTTTCTCGTTCATCTTTGCCGCGAACAATGGCCTTCACTCGTTCCTCTTGAATCAAAGTTGAATACACTTTGTTTAAGCTTGGCAAAGGATCTTGCGCCAGAATATTCGACCTTACCGTTCCGTATATCGTTTCATCTAATCCCATTAGAAACGAGTGCACTTTCTCTTCCTCCCGTTTCTTCTCCAACATCGCACCGAGATCGCATTCGCATTTTCCGCACTTGCACGTAGGTGATTGCTCAAAATTTGTCAATTCATCCCAAAGTTGCTTGAGCTTCCCATAGTAGTCTACTACAGTCATTCCCTTCTGTTTGCAGTTCGCAAGATCTGATTTTAGCTGCTGAATACGTGGCCCATTGGTGACGGAGAAACGTTCTTTGATATCGTTCCACAGATCCTTCGCCACTTCCACATGAGAAATAGTGGAACGAAGAGAAGGTTCAATGGTGTTTCGGATCCAGGACACCAACAACGAGTTGATTGTCCACCAGTCTTCAAGATCCCCTGATGCTTCGTCGGGTTGTTTGATTGTCCCGTCCACAAACCCGAACTTCTTCCGGGCTCTCAAAGCCGTTCGAAATGAACGAGCCCATTCATCATAATTGTCTCCTTTCAATTGGATCTGGGTGATTGAAAGGCCTGGATTGTCAAGAGAAGTAATATCATAAGGAGATATTGTCTTCCTCGTGGTTTCAGGTTTCGATGTTCCCTCTTTGTGGTTGGTCATGGCTCTGATACCATAACAAAATCAGGTATTTTGGTGGAATTTTGGGAGAGAAAACCTCTGCCTCCTTCATTCATTAACTCGTATCATTTATATACACAATCCTTCCTAAACAACCTCCTAAAAAACAGCTAGAAACAATCAAACGATATCGCACAGAATATCATCTACCTAAAACAGAATATTAGCTACCTAAAACAGAATATTAACTACCAAAACAGAATATATACAATAATAACTCACAATAGCATTGTAAAAAAATAAAATTGATTTTCCTACTTGTCAGGTTAGCTTTGAAAATTTCAAGCCAAAAGCGATTTACATTTCTTAAAATTAATTTTCCTACTTGCCACGTTAGCTTTGAAAATTTCAGGCCAAAAGCGATTCACATTTCTTATGTTTGGTTGTTTTGATAATTTATGTAAAAGATGTTTTAAAAAGCTCTGCCACAACAATTTTTTCATGAAACTCATTTCAATCCCCAAACATTTCATGAAACTCATTTCAATCCCCAAACCTCCGAATTTGAGTTTCAAGTCATGAAATAAGTTCTCCTTTTTTTTCATTTTTTTGGTAAACCATCTAAACAGCCCCTCAATTGAATCCTAGCACCCGCAAGATAACAGAACTTTTTTTTTTGGGGTTAACTGTTTATTATGTAGATTATAAGGATACCTGGAGGAGCTGGACTCTTTATATACGGACTTTCTCAATTTCATCAACACCACTGGCAAGCGACTACGAAACATCACACTCTGATATCAAAACATGACAAAGTTATCAACTGACTTGAGCGATAGGCTACAACTGATGACAGGAAGAAGCTGGTAAATTTTGAAGAGTTACAAGACAAGAGGTATCGAAGAGAGGGGAATTGGGCTATTATTGTTCGTTAATCACAATTATTGTACATTTTTCTAATCACAGCCATCTAAAGATACATTCCTAGAAGCAGAGAAAACTATTGCACATTGAGAGCTATTTGAACAACAAGAGCCTTTATTGTACACTGAGCTAGCTAATTGGTTAAAATACATCATCTCTCTATGGCACACATCACTAGCGGAGAAAATTCCTTCAGTGATAAATTGTGATGCTTACTCTACAAAGAAGAGGTTAGTTTCAAGATCAGCTGACTTCGACGATCCCCTATTTGCCACCATCCCCTTCATCTGACTCATCTTCTATATCATTCTAGTTACTGCCTGCATCCTCGCCATCTTCATCATCTGTCATGTTAGTTATTACCTCTTCTATTATGCTCTTTACATCTCCTTTTCTATCTGACAAGCTGACCTTGAAGTGAGTTTCTGCATACAAGTGCAATAGCGTCAAACCACTATCCTGCTTTACATTTGGTGTTATTGGCTCAAAAATAAGGTACTAAATCATCGTGTTATTGTCACAGAATAATCCCCGTGTGTACGCGTGGATTCAAGGTTATAAAGAAGAAGATCGTATGAGTAGTAACTATTAAACCATAATGTTTTATTCAGCCAAAAAGTATTCAGTTTTATAATTTTTGGATGCAAATAGATAAGACCCCACCTAAACACCGAAAATTTTTGGCAATCATTACCATTGGTAAAACGTGACTTGCAGTGTTGAGCTACTCTAAGGGGGTGTTTGTTTCACGTATAAAATCATGGAAAGGCTTGGAAAACTACTAACAATGTCAGAAAATGAATTTTTTTTTCCACGGGTTTCCATTTCTTGTGTTTGTTTCACTACTAGGTTTTAAGAAAAGTTTTCTTAAAAGGTAGGGAAAACGTACTTTTTGGGTGGAAACCAAATCCACCAAACTTGAGAGGAAATGAGCATGAAAGGGATGGAAAGGGTGCAAAATAATAATTAAATAATAAGATTAATGGGAGAGGTTTTCTAGGTGGAACAAAATAATAATTAAATATTTTGGTGGAAACCATTTTTGCCTATTGAAACAAACAAGAGAATCGTATAGAAAACTTTTCCTCCCCATGTTTTCATGCCAAAACAAACCAAAAAAAACTGCTTCTTAGAAACACATGGAAAGGGGTGGAAATAGATTTTTTACAACAAGAAAGGGTTTCCTATTTTTGGAAATGAAACAAACACCCCTAAATTGAAAATCTATATTTGCACAGGGAAAAGTATGACTGCGTGTATGGATGCAAATGCACATGACATGTTGACACGGCGAGTGATCAAACATAGGACTAATAACATTTTAGAGTTCTCTTTCTTATCTCTATTTTTTCTTTCTTTCTTTCTTACTTTCTTTCTTTCTTTCTTTATTCTTCTTCTTCTTCTTTTTTTGTTGGGTTTCTCACTACAGACGACTAAAAGGATTAGGCAATATTAAAAGCAAGAGGTAAGCTGAAAAATACCTAATTGTTTCAGAATATCATTCAAGGTCACCTGCATCAGAAACATTGTTAGGTTTCTCTGAGCAAAATCAAGAAAATAAGACACAGTGCAAGTAACAGACTACTCACAACTTCAAAGTCAACATCTTTCAAGATATCAGCAACCACAGGAAGCATTTCCTCTCTGCTGGGTTTCTTGATGACTTTCTCTAGAACATTTCTTTTTCCTTGTGTCATGCAAACAAGTCGTAGAAAAGGATGTTGTGAGCAATGTTCAAAATCCAAAAAAGGCAACGCTATTAAACATTCAGTACACTTGGGAAAAGTAGAACTATGCTAAATTATGTAAGCCATTATGAACACTCAAAGCTTTGCACTCCTTGCACCATTCAGCCACGTCTTTTAATATAAATCCTTTTTCTTGGTTCTATATCACTATTTTGTAGTTTACACTGAAACCTAAATCAAATTGCCACTCAACATATACTGTCAATCTGTAGGATTCAGCCTATGCATGTGAAGAAAGGTGTTTATGTGCACATGTGTGATGGTAAGGGTTTTCCACTCTTTAATTATTTTCTTTTTTACTTTTTTCGATGGTGGGGTTGGGGTGGGGCTTTTTTCGTGGGGGGGTGGGGGTGGGGGTTGGAGTATCTTGCATCAACTTGCAGAAAATCATTCTGAGTACCATGACATTTTAGAGATGTACCATCTAGGCACCTAGAACTTTAAATGTAATGGATAGAACCTACTGTGATCTAGAAATGTTACATGCCATCTTGCCAACAGGGAAAAAGTCTTGTAATGGATAGGACCAATGTATGATCTATAAGTTGTATAACTAGACACAGCATCAAATTTACATGTAACATCTACCCAGTACCGAAGGGAGGATCTTTCATCAACTATGCAGAAAATCTTTTGGAGCATCATGACATATAACATCGTCCTCTAGAAATGTACCATCTAAAGGTTGAATCTTGCCTATGAGGAAAGAGTCTTTATAATAGATAGGACCATGCATAACCAGACACAACATCAAATTTACATGTAACATCTCCCCCAATACCGAAGGGATCCCGGATGCCATTGACACTAAAGAATATGGGATTTTCACTGATGACCAATAATACATTCTAAGCAAGGGACAAAACACAGGACCAGCAAAATATACACTGTCTGCGCTGCAAACAAAGGGTTCTATCATTAACCTGGATCTAACTTCTGTGAAATTCTTAATCTATAAATGCAGTTCATAAAGATTTAACAAAAAAATCCAGATAAGCTATCAACTTAACATTACTCTTAGGTCACCCATACTTGCTGTCTTACTGACAATGGAAATTGGGGGCAGGAGAGCATGGTAAACCAGCGTAAGTACATGACTATGGAGAACTTACAAGAGTCTCTAGAGAAAAAAGTACATGGAAAAGGCTGAAGATGACGAGATTCTCTATAGATGAGTATGTACATTCTTGAAAACCTTCATAAACAAAGGAGCAAATGAAAACAATATTCAGAACCTTCAGGAAAACTAGTGAAAATTATAATAAAGAAATTAGCAGATTGATGTTTCATCCATAGATATTATCCACATTGCATTAGCACACTAGTAACATAACACTGTCTTTCTAAGCAAGCTAGAGCATATTTGCAGAAAACTACAGTAATGACTATATTCAGAAATACTAAGAAAGCTTTCCAAAAAAAATGCACAGAAATTTTTGCAGGTACTTCACAGATGAAGAAAATTCAAACTCACTTTTTTTCTTGGTGGAAAGCTCCAGTTTTGTGGTTCTTTTCTTGTCTGCCTTTTTCCCCCCAGTTGATGGTTTATCATTATTGCGACCTTTCTTATTATTACCACCTATAGAAGTACTCTTTTTTGAAGATTTTGTAACATGTTTTGGTACTTTTACAGAATCCTTTACTGGAAGACCAGACTTCTTTTTTGCAACAGACTTGATCTCCTTCCTGTTTGGCTCAGTAGATGGTACCTTTTTACTTCTACTTCCTGCAGGTGCCCTTTTTTTGCTTTTTAAAGTTGTCTTCGATTCATCTTTTGGAGCTCTCAGATTGGACTTTAATGTGCTTTTATTAGATTTTGTTGAAGAAGCTTTATTGACAGATGAAATGTGGTCCTTTGTCTTCACGGCACCAGATGCTAGGGGCTTCCCAGAACTCTTTTTCTTGGCAAGTGGCTTGCTTATTACATGATTATTATCCTCAAGGTCACCAGATTTACCTCCACCTTTATCGCGTTTATTAGATTTGGCAGTCCTTCCATTTTGTGCACTGTTATTCGAACTCCTGTTTTGTTTCTGCACACCATAAAGGCCTCTTCCATATCAGAAGGCAGCAATTGAATTCTGAAAGAAATAATTTTCGCAAAACAACATGAGTGCTTAGGTTAATAATAAATATAAGAATGGATACAGCAGAAAATTTTGAATTTGCATACTGCATACATGTGGAGGTCCATTTGAAGGCATGGCTGCCAGGTAGATAGCAGAGTTCAAATAGTGAAATAAGATTGAGTATAGCACAAAATCTTGTATGTGCATACATGTGAGGGCATGGTTCCCAGGTTGATACAAGAGTTTAAAACTTATAACAGAAAGAAATAAAGGTTGGAGTTTAAGCTGGTTTGCTACACATATGCCGTAATCAGTTTCAAAACAGGACCTTGAAACTTTTGGGCAGGTTAGCTTCAGCCTGGCACAGACTCGGTGTATACTTCCAATCCTAGTTGTTGAAAACACAAATCCTAACCAGGAATTTTTATGCATTAACTTTGCAAAAGGGATGCCTGAATCTCCGCATCAGTAATTGCGACTATAGATTTTGAAGGCAAGTAGCCAATGAAAACGGTATGGATTTATCATACAGAATAAAGGATGTTTTGTTGGGTGCAGTGTTTCAAAAGGTGGCACTCACACCCAAGTGCTTAAGTACCTTGTCAGCTAGCCTGTTGATCACTCCTCTTTGCTTTGCTTAAGCAGATGGACATTCTCACCTTATTATTTCATTAATTACACACCATAACACTCTGAAAAGGAGTGCTTAGCATGATAGGCTGGAAATTATTGATATCATTACAACTCCATTAATGTCATAACTGTACAACCAATAGCCTCATGTGTAATTCATACTATAATATATGTGGAACTCTCGAAAATAACACCTTAGTTGTCCTTTATTATCCCATATGTTTAGTAGCAACAAGTAAGCAACCTGTATCACACCTCTTGTGAAGCAATTTTTATATAGTACAATAAATCCATTAAAGTTCTTGCCTTCTATCTTTTTCTATCTTTTTGAAAGCATTGCGTAATCCATAATCTTATTCTTAACCCATAGTTTTGCATGGTTCTCACTTGTGCAGTTTATTTTCCAAGCCTTTTTAGAATAGCATTACCATAACATCCATATTTTAGGTAAAGCTTTTGAGTTACTATCTCCAGAAGGCGAAATAAGCCAATTGTAAGTGAGAGCATGTTAAATCTCTGGGAGCTATTAGGCACTTCCTGTTCAGTTTGGGTCCACACCCACGAGTGTGTTCAACATTTGGTCAATAGAATTTGGCCAAGGGACATGACAATTTTGTCATGTTAGCTCCACCCACTTGTAGTTGAGTTAAGAACTTAAGTCATATAATGGGACATCACAATTTGTTCATGTGAGCTCAACCACTTATGTTTGGGTTGAGAACTTAAGTCATTAAGGGGCTTGAGTTGGAAATGAAGAGTTGGATTCTTTCATGATTTGATATCATTATCCTTTCCAAGAGTGGGGGCTTGGAAAGAGGATGAGAGAAAGGAGGAAAGGAGGTTAGGGTTTGTAGAGAAGCTCACCTTGGTTGATTTGTTTCACATTCTAAACTATTGTAGAGACTTGGATCCTTCTACTTGTGTTTGGGAGATGATTATACAAGTGAGTTGTAGGTCTGAAGCTTATGAGGTAGCCCCTGTATGTCTCCCATTTATCTATTATTGTTCAGGCTCAAGCTTTATAATGCTTTGTGTGTTATTATATACTGTTCTCTTACTGTTGATATGGTGAAAAGGTCTTCTATTGGTTGTTGTGGACACAGGTCTGAGTTGTGGCTAAACCACGTCATGCCGGTTGTTTGATTTGTCATTGCTTGTGTTGTCTTGATTCCACAATAGTATTCATATTTCTCACATTGATCTTAGACTTGGAATTTTTCACTTTAGTTCCCAGCAAAGTGGTATCAGAGCTAGGTCTTCCATAAGGTGTTTGTTGAATTGCTTGAGAGAGATTTCGGTCCGTTTTGTGGTATGATGTATAAAAACACAGGTATGATTGTTAGCCTTATGGAGGAAAACTGAAAGGTATAGAGTGGGAAAATGTTTCCTACAAACACTTGAGATGTTTGGTTGCGACGCATTTATCCGCCTTCCAAAAGAGAATATATCCAAGATTGAGAACAAGTAAAAGCAATATATCTTCTTAGGATATTCAAATGATGGGTTGCAATGTTACAGAAGACACTAGGCGGACTAGGCATTTAAGCCAGTGCCTAGCGCCTCGATGCCTAGGTGTACGCCTAGGCGACGCCCAGACGTTTGGCTATTTTTAAATTATTTAATTATAATAATTGATAAAATATATATTACATTCATATTAATTTACAAAAAATATAGATAGCAATCTTCGATCCACAATAAATCATGCATACTTAAATGCTAAATGGCAAAAATAATAACTAACAAGATTATAGAAAGCACTAGGAGGCCTAGGCATTGGACCCATCGCCGAGAGCCAAGGAGGTTTACTTTTTTTATTTTCTAATTACAATAATTGATAGTAAATGATAATATTATAGAAAGCTTAGGTGTCGAACTGATATCTAGATGGATTTCTTTCTTCATTTAAGTGGTGATCGAGGAGGTTTTGGTAAAGGTCGGAGGAGGTAACGGAGGTGTTCATATTTGGAGGTAAAAGGAGTTTGAAGGAGGTTGGAGGACGTGAAGGTTGCAATATAGAAAATCACAATAAATGCCTAAAGGGTACAGTCAACATAAGCAGACAATACTCCCCTAAACACTTCCAAAACCTACGTGGGCAATTTAGGTATCACCTAGGCGCTAGGCTAGTTAGACGGCCTAGGTACCGCCTAGGCGGACTAGACCGAGGTTTTTTAAATCAGTGATGAGTTGGAATATAGACTATGAAATATGTGAGAGAAAAAAAAGAAGTCAATAAGGAGTGGGTGCAAGATGATGAGGATGCTCATTCTCTTAGACAGTTTTGTTTATTTTGATCTGATTTCTTCTCCAATGGTACATGATGTTGAAGGTGTTCAAGAAGATGGTGTAGGCAATGCCAGTGATGAAGCATCTACATCAAATGTTACTCATGATGAAGTGGGGGAGCAAGTCACATGAACTAACATTTTCACGAAGAGAATGCAAATGATGACCAAGTATTTTTCCAGAGGATTGACATGAATGCTAGATAATTAGTCATTGGCATCACCTCACGTGAGCATTGAAAGGGGGAGATTGTTGGGTTTGGGTCCATACATGCAATTGAGCTCAATATTCAACTTTTGGAATTCGGCCAAGAGACAACAATTTGGTCATGTTAGTTCAACCCACTCGTGGTTAGGTTGAGAACCTAAGTGTATGAAGGCTTGAGTTGGAAATACAGAGTTTGACTCTTTCATGATTCTCTATTGTTACCCTCTCTAAGTGTGGAGTCTTAGAGAGAAGAGAAGAAAGAGAAGAAGAGAAAGAAGAAATTTGTTCAATATTCTACCCTATATTGGAGACTTGGATCCTCGTGGTTAGAAGGTGATTCAACAAGTGGATAGTAGGTTTTGAGCTCATGAGGTAACCCTTGTGTGTTTAATGTTTATCCATTCATTCATTCCATTGTTGTTAGAGGCTCAAGCTTTGTTAAACCTCTAAGTGTTATCGTATATTGTTATCTTCTTGTTGATAAAGTGGAAATATACATCCTTTGTTGTTGTGGACATAGGCATGGGTTGTGACCAAACCACGTTACCTTGGTTGTCTGATGTGTGTTTGTTTGTGTTGTTTTAGTTCCAAATTTGTATTCATTTCTCTCACATTCACCTTGAGTTTGTGTTCCTTCGCTTTGGTTCCCAATATTTATATTGGCTGCTTTACTTTTACCTCACTTTAAAAATTGATTTGATATATTTATCTATCCTTATGAAACGATGAAATCATCAATGTAAACAAGGTTACTAAAAGCGCTAAGTGGCCTAGGCGTAGGAATTGTCACTTGGGCTAGGCATTTTCCTATTTTTATTTTGTAATTACAATCAATGTTATTGAAAGCACTAGGCACAGCTAAGTGTCAAACTGGCACCTAGCGCCTGGGATCTAAGGCGTTCTAGGACTAAGAGGATTTCTTTTTTGTTTTGGTGATGGCGAAGGAGGTTTCGATGAAGGTCGGAAGAGTTGAAGTAGGTGTTCGTAGTCGGTGGAGGAGACCGAAGGAGTTTGGACGAGGTTAAAGGATGTGGAGGCAACAACAACTAACGAACGACCAAGACCTAAGCGGTCTCATTCCCGCAGGCACTCCTAAGACCTAGGCAGGTGCCTAGGTACCACCTAGGCCTAGGCGGGAGCCTAGGTGGGAGCTTTCTTAAAACATTGCCTGTAAAGAATAATTTAGATACAAAAGAACAGACTAAGTTTTAGTTCAGCTGAAGCATTATCGAGTGCAATCTGAATGATACCAATAATCAGACGGACTGTCTCAAAAAGGTATAATTAGCATAGTTGCCCAAAAAACACAACTTAATCAACTTTGGAGACGACGAGAAATAACATAACATCATTTAAAATGCCACCGCAACCCCACCCCCAAAAAATACCCACGCGAAAAACCTCATTACCCTAAATAACTCAGTAGGTTATCAGCAACACTAAGAGAATGCCATATATAAGCATAGTCAATGTTAGAACACCTACTACTGAAAAAAAAAAATGGAACAGTGACAAAAAAAATCAAAATGAAATGAGCACGGAAATGGAACCTAATAAAGACATCAATTAATGGAGATGCCTACTCAAAGCCACCAAGCAAGAAAGATATAGTGCCAATAAGTATCATAATCCATGAACATAACTTTGTTATGGCACAAAAATAATGACCCAGCAGTGCAACAAGGATACATGACTTGCCAAATAGTATCTCCAGATTATAGATACTTACAAAATTATTGATTTGTCAGCTAATACCTTATTTTCTTCCTTATCAGATGCTTCTTCGCTAAATGTTTTCTGATCATCTTCTTCTTTCCTCTTTCGTTTTTTGCCTTCCTGAAGAAAAATTGAACTAAAATGTCACGAAGCCTTCAAACACCAAGGGCTTTAAACAAGTTATTCAACATTGATGAGCATTAAAACCTGTTCTTCAAGTATATCATCTCTGGTGACATAAGGGGATTCGAGAAATTCTAATAATTTCTCTGAGGCTTCCTCCTGAGAGAAAAGTGTAAATGTAAATTGATATTATAACAATAGTAACAAAAGAAAACTGCAACAACAGTATCTGTCAACAAACAATCAACCTTTTTGGTTACTCTCTTATGTACAGGAATATCAAATAATTGACAGAAATCCAGCAGCTTGTCTTTGGTAAACTTGTCAAGCTTCTCTTTCACTTTCATCTTCTCCCTTTCCTGCCACGTATATGCTCTGACTGTTAAATAAATTGTTCAAAAACAAAGTCAACTTCATCTAAAGAGTTAATATTTGCTCAGACGCAATAGGTAAAAAGTACTGACACCAACAAGTATATATCATCAATCAACCTGCACATGACGTAGCCTAGTAGTGAGCACATGATGGGATAAAGAGGGCAAAACATTAGCAATGATGTCAATGTGATAAAAAGAAGATTCGGATGATTTTTATTGTACCTCATTCCCAGCCCAGACAAATCCAGAGAACTGTAAGATGTTCCGTTTCACGTATGTAACCTGAAAACAAATATCTCGATTTATAAATACAGATAAAATATGAAAACATAAAGGTTGGAGCACATGTATAGACCAAAATGCACAGTTGTATATTTCTCGTGATCAGTAGAGCATCATCAGTAGAATATTACATTTGATTTTCTTCCAAAAAGGATTGCATGAAGAACACTAAGGCTGTCATCCGTCTTCCTTTTTGACATCTTGAAAAGCACTGTAATAGTAAGAGATATTAGTAAAGAAGTCATGAAACAGAGTGATAGGCTATTAAGTCTGGATAAGATTGTGACATGGTAAAAAGAAACACTCAAGGACTACATTTCTTACCTATTGTAACACTGCCGGGATATAAAATAAACATCTACAGAGTAACATGGAACTGCTCTAGCTGAAGCAAGATAAATGTATTTCCTATTTCCCATTTGAATGAAGATTTGCAATGAGCATAAAGAATATAAGCAATATATAAGTATATACATAGTAACAATAAAATCCAATTGATCAGTGAGGTGAGCCATGAGCAAGGTTGACTTGAATTAGAACATCATTATAATTAGTAAGCATACGACCAAATGATTGATTTGCAAACCAAATGAAAACATGAACAAATCAAGTCAAGGTAAAAAGGAAGTATACTGCTAAAGGCCCCTCCCACTACACCAAAACTCCAAACTTGTGATGAAGGTTCAGGGTTATAATTTTACCCTAACATGCCCCT